GTATCTGCCCCTGGGAGCTGGGGTCCATGCAGAGCTGATGGACGGCCATTCATTTTTCCTCTATGTGCTCCCTGTTCCCAGGACAGTTTTAAGGCACTGGGCATCCAATGAAGAGGAAGAGGTGGGTTAGGGGGAAGAGGAAGCAAGGAACCAGCAAAGGACTGGCAGCACTAATGATTGTGTAGCATGGGATAGGAGTCAACACTCCTCCTTCCATGGGGAACAGCCTTCTGTAAAATTCTGGTCTTCCACTGCTATGCTCATTGGCCAGAGAAGATCCTGAGCTGGAAGAGACCCATAAGAACCATTGAGTGCACCTGTTACCTGTGTTTTCCAGAGAAAAGCTTTCCAGACTGGCTATCAAGAAGGCTCTTTCCCATCTCCACTGCATTCAGACCCTGGTCTTTGAAGAAACTCTCCCTACAAAGCCAAGGCTGAGCCTAATAATTTAACCACCCCTACCAGTGTTTTTTTTCAGAAGCCATATTTATGACAATGTATACATTAGATACAGATTGCTTAATTTGCATAGGTGCCAGACACAGAGATGCACGAAATTTGGCAGGTAAGCCCAGACACAGGGTGTGAGTGGTGCAAGAGGGAGGAGACAGGGCCTTTGTTTGTGTTCCTGTGAGGATTGCTGCTGGCAGAGCAAAATGGGTTTAACTGAACCAAAATATTTCAGATCAAAGCTGTGAAAAGGCTTTAAAACACATTCTGCTTTCCTCCTGCACTGTACCAGCACTCTCTTATTCTTTGCTTTAAGCAAAAACTTTGACTGTGGTCAAATTATTATGCATGTGAAGAAGGTGCCACACGAGGCAGCTGCAGCAGGTTTGGCAAATCAGCTAAGTGTGAGACATCCTGGTGGAACCTTGTCAGGTTTAGCAGTGATGGTTACACATTATCTGCCTCCCATCTCCCCCACCTCACTGCCAGAGTCCTTGCCCTAGCAGTGGCCAAAGCAGGGGCTTGCTGCCTCACCCTGCACAGGCCACCAGCCAGACCCCATGGAGAAATTGCCCTTCCCAGCATCTGCTCGTTTCCCCTGCTGCTGGGACAGACGGCGCTGGGACAGGCACAGCAGCTGTGGGGGAGGTAAAGTGACACAGATTGCTGCTCTTCAGTCCAGCAGAGCCCATCTGTCAGGGCCTTTAAAATGCATTCAGTCCCAAGATGGAGGTTTCCAGTACAAATCAAGCGGCTTTAGTTTGATGCTACTTAGTAGGATCTGCTCACAATGAACTAAAAACTTGGATAAGGCACCTCTGCCAAATCTAGCCAGGTAGTTCAGTGCATTAGCATAAGCAGCTTGCTACTCTTCCTGCAGAGTGGAGCAAGGTGGGTAACACACCTCATCCCTTCCTGTTCACAGCCCAGGGTTTTGTCTGAAACCAATAATAATGGTGGGCTTGTACAAAAACACCAAGCTGTAAATGAGAATATCCCTCACAAATGCTCGAATCCTGCTCTGCTACCTGGCAAAAGAGATTAATACTTTGTGACTATGATGCCTCGAGAAGGGGAAATATGTTAGAGTTTTGCAGACTCTGCTCTTGAATGATAGGATCTGTGTAGAGTGTAAGATGTTTTAAATTGTACACATTTTAGCTGATTCATCTGGCGTTTTCTAAGTGGAGACATGGCAGAAATTTGCTAAAAAGCTAATTGAAATTTTGCCTGTTGGCAAATATGAGTAATTGTAGTGAAGGCACCTGTTGACAAGAAAGGTTACTTAAACCCTCTATGATTTCATCACTTGTCTTTGGTAAGCAGAAGGCCCATAATTGTAAATTCTGTAGTCTGAGGATGACAGCAGATTGGGGATGTGGTTATCTGCCTTCACTTACTCCGCTCAGAATACTCCTTCTGAGAGGCTGAATGGGATGGCCAGAAAATAGGGAGGATGTGTTTTCTGAATTCTGAATCATGACAGTTTTCCCCCAATACTCTTGTCTGTAGTAATGTAAAAATTCCAGCCTGGTAATTAGACTGTACTTGGTCTTAGGTTCTATGGGCCTTGACACTAGCTTCTTAAATTTCAGAACTAACCAGACTAATCAAATTAAATTTTTAAATTAAAACTTCTTCTAAACTGATACTCAATTGGAGGTCAAGCTGAGCAACAACATTTTAGAAGTCATTCTGTTACTTCTCTTTGCATTTCTTCCCGAGGAACTCTTAAGTCCTACAGTAATTCTTTTTGTAAAACCCTGCAGTAGAGTCAGATTCAGGCTGCACACTAGAAACAGGTGAGTGAAAATATTCCAGCAATTTGATCTTTGCTATTTCAACCTGTGTTTGAATAGATGATCTTCAGAGATCCCTTCCAGCCGTATTTGTTCCATTCGTCATACTACCTAAGGGAACATGATGAATGTAAAGAGGTGTATGTCTCTTGCTTGCAAAGATTTATTTCTAAATGGCAAACCAGTTAATTACATGTGTAGTAAAAAAAAAAAAAAAAAAAAATATCAGCCAAACCCAATTAACCAATGGAAGAACAGTCCCAAAAAAACTTTGTGAGGCCTCCAGAACCTTAAATACGTACCTCAGAATAGCTGGACTCTAGTTCTCTATTTTAGACAGTAAAGATATGATTAATATTTCTTCTCAGATCAGGCTGGAGCACTTGGGAGGGAAATCTGGTATTTTTGTCAGTTTTTACCCAAGTCCTTCCTGGCTAGGGGGTTCAGCTGGTGCTTGGGTCTCTTCTCTTCTGCACCTGGGTAACAGCAGGTGAGCAAAGCCTCAAATGATTAGCAGTGGCTCCTTCAGGACCCCAAGAGGTGGCTTTTAGAGATCTCTCAGCAGACTTCAGTTCTGCCTAGTGACAGGATTGTCTTGGTCCCTGATCAGGACAAAACAGGGATGCAGTACATGCCACAGATATTCCCTATGAGAACTTACAGCCTGAAGTTCTGCTGTACTAAGCACCAACTCCAGTAGTATGTAGAGGATTAGATATTGATGTAGTACCTGACACTCTATGTAGTTTAACACCAAACTTAAATTTATTCATACATTCAAGCTTCACTTGATTTAATGATCACCTCTTCTAGTCTTTTCTGAAGTTAGCTGACACATATAAACCTGTTACTACTGTGATATTAACCTTTTTCCTGGCTACTGTTCAGTTTATCTCCAAAATTCATCTTCAGGTTTTGGACCACTCTTACCATGAAAACTGAGCAATACTAAAATGCAGAAATCTGACCATCACAGTACATCATAAACTGCCTATACCTCATGGAAAAATCTGACAGACACCTTATTTCGAAATGCTTTGGTTTAGGTATGTCATTCTATATGTTTCCTTAATACGTTGCTATGAAAACAGGGCCATGGTTTAGAATTTAATCTTCTATTTCTGACTTCATCTGTAACCTCTGTCCACATCAAAATTAGCTGGAACATCATCTTTACAGCACACACCACGTTTGAAAGAGATCTTTTAATCTTTTTTTTTTCCTTCCTGTAAAGATCTGAAACCTAAGCAGGAAAATAAAGTTTTCTCATCCTTTTGAATTATTCTTAGTGTGAATTGATTTTGTGGTATTGATTTTAGGAATACTGTCTGTAAGCAGTTATATTTTGTGCAATATATTAAATAGTAAAAAATTTGAGTGTGTGCATTTATAAAAAATAGAATAATTCATTTATACATATAACACATGCCCCTATGTACACAGACATAATAATAGAAATTCAGTCAATCAATGTAGTTGCTGGTTCATTATTTCATTTATTTTTCTATTCTGTGTTCTTACTAGAAAATCTTATAATGGTCTTGCAGTTGTCTTTTGCAGTGTAGAACAGCATATACACTTGAAACTTACTGGGAAAAAACACCCCATGAATTTCCATGCATAGCTGAGTAAGAAAATTAGTGAACGATGCATTGCAGCAACACAGAATAAACCAGGCAGCACTTTATACATAAAGTTACATATTCACTACAGGAAGGTTGACTTAAATTCAGTGTCACAATGCCATCACCTGCCCTAGCTGAAAAGCCTTCTTTAGGTTTTAAGGCGGTTGCATGTAAGGTATTAAAAACATAATCCCAAAATAAGCAAACTTCCCCTGGAAATTTTCTGCTTCTTCCTTGCTTCAAAAGGATCCAGGAAATGGTAGACATATACATACTTTAAATCAAAGTCCAGGGTCTGATGAATGGGCTACCTGACCTTTCCCAAGGAGACACAGCTGGGAGGGCTGGAGAGGGCCAGTGCAGGGATGAAGGGCTCCTTGGTGCTCTGCCTAGCTGGGGCAAGAGCTGCATTTATGCATAATAATTTCTGAACTGTGTATTTTCCACTCTTTTATGAATTGTCTGCTATTGCTTAAGGGTTCACCTGCATGCTGGTTTTGGGATTTATTTACCTGTAGATCAGTTCAGAAAGAGCTAGATATATGGGTAAAAGCTGTAGTGCTAAAAGCACCGTTAGCCTAGTATAACTATGTTCACCCTAGCAGGGCAGGAAGTCACTTTATTTATATTCTTATGTTAAAACATTATAAAAGCACTGCAAAAAATTAAATCATTCCTGAAAGCAAAGAGATCAGATGAATGAGCTATATTGCAAACACTGGTTGGTATACGTTAGTGTTTATAGTGATAATGTTGGGACTTTAGAATAATCTGCATTGTAACTTTAAAATAAATTCATAAATCTTTCCATTTTTTTTAGTTGTGATTATTTTGTCTTCAGCTCCCTTGTCAATGTGTGGCTGCTTAACAATACTTAAACTGCACCTTATGAAATGCGTTCATCCAAGATGGTTTCTTAGAAATCTTTGCTTGCCATGGATTGCTTTAGTCCACTTGGTATTGCAGGCTGGGACTCATCTGCCTCACCACTGTAAGGAGAACAATTTAAGTAATTTCACTTGAGGTTTTGGTTAGTATTTTTTACCACCATGAAATGATGTAAGAATTAAAGGATAACAGGAAACTCCCTCAAATCACATTTTCAAAAGCATTTTCCAAAAGTGACTATGTTAGTAGACTTTATTGTCACCCGAAAGCCTCTGGTAATCTTACAAAGCATCTGCAATGAATAATCTTCCCCTCCCCCATCCTTATTTGTTGCCAGAAACAGCTTATAAATGCTTAGTTGGAGACGGTGCCAAATTTTGCTTTTAGGCACACTTGTAAATAGAAAATATTTCCACTGATTTTTGTAGAATTATTCCAGATTTACGCAGATGCAAGTGAAAGCCAAATTTTGCCTGGGTCTTCCCTCATGGGTGCCACTTGGTGCCCGGATCAGCTCCAGAACTGCTGCCTCTGGTGTCAGTGGAAGGCAAGTGCTTCAGCTGAATCTGCCCATAATTTGACAAATTATTATAAACAGATTTGAACAAATATTTCTTTACAAAACAAACTGGTCAGCAGGCTCCAGGCTTTAGTCTCCTGATGCATTTTACAGGAAATAATATCAAGTTAGCTATTATGAAACTACCCCCTCCTCACACACTCATAATTGCTTCCAGCTTGCTGATTATTACCCTTTCTTTAACTGATAGAGTGAGAAGAGAAATAAAAATATCTCCATACAGTAGGCCAAATCCTCATCTGGTATAAATCGACATAGCTCCATCAAAGTCAATAAAACCATCTTGATTTACACCAGTCAAAGAGCTGATGCACTATAATTTTTTTACTTGCTTTTAAAAATAAAACCTTATGTGATTGTGTAACCAACATTACAACAGAAACCAGAATTTTCTTTTGTGAAGTTAAATGTGCCCTCCCTTTGACTTGCAAACATTTTCACTTAGATAGTCCTTCTATAGCTTTTTTCCCCTTTGCCTTCTGGCAGAATGCTCCTACCACCCTTGTGTCATGAGTGAGGTACAAACTGAACTGAAAGATAATCACACACAAAATAATAATCTCATGGAGTAATGAGGACAAAGACTGAAATGCTACCGCAACTCTTTCACCTAAAAGAGGAAAGATGGCTAAGCAAAGCACAAGATAAAAAAAATATTTCTGACATCCTCTCTGATCACCATTCTCCAGTTAACAAATGTATATTAACAGCACCAAGAAATTAGTAATTCTTACTGAGGAATGACAGTACTGTAAATTACTATTATAGATTAAATTTCTTAAATAGTCTTTAAAATAGTACAGTGAGACTTACTGCAAGGTTTACTGCAGCTGATAGAAACTCTATGTGCTCTCTCTGGACAAACATTTCTAAAGTCTTTTTTCGGTGTTGTCTAGGGGCTGTGAAACACATGGTGATTTTTTTGGAATACTCTTTGTCTCTTGTACTTCTCAAAAGCACAGCGCGCTGTTCACAGCAAATCTTTTACATCCATTTCAGGAGTTCTAAGCATTTCCATTCAGTATATTATCAAATAAAGGTCTGGCCTTTCCCAAAATCTTCGGTTTTTTGGCTTGTTGCTTTGATTGATGTGTATATTCAGAAATTCATGGTAATTTCAACAACATCTTGAAAAATTGAAATTATTTCATTGTTAATGCTGACGTAGTATTGTACTGGTTCAGCAAAGACTTTTAAGAAAATGTACACTTATTAATTCTTGGTATTTAGCAGCCCCTAACAGCATGCTGGTAGTTTTATTAAAGTTAATGGTGATATTTCCAGGATTGCAGCCTTTAATTTCCAATTGCTTTTTTGAATACTGTCAAAAATGAGAGTGTAATAAAAAAATGCATTAGCATGAATTTCCAAATGTTTTCATTCAAAATGCAGTCAAGATTAAGCTTGCCTTTAAATACATATTCCATTGCTTTGAATAACATCTTGAAAATCATTCTGTGATGCCTGGAATTCACTTGCAAAGACTGAATTGGAATTCAGTCACACATTCTAGTCTCTGTTTTAATACATATTTTTTGATTCATAGACCAGTCTGAAACACATTCAGAATTTACTGCAAAAGTTTTTTATAGTAAGACTTGAAAATTTGCATATCGTATTTGGTGGATATCACTACACCACTTGTTTTGTTTGGAAAAGATTGCTTATCTCCATTACACTGTGAGCCCTTTAGCTTTGGGATCCTGCTTTCTCTGAAACTATCACTTTAGACTGCAGCCTTTATTTTGTGATGAGGCTTTTCCACCTGGTCAAATGAATGAATGACTGAGATGCTGATGCAGAAAAATTCAATTCAGGTCCTTTATTATCCCTCTGTAAAATATGACTTGAAAACACGATCCCTGTAGAAGACAGTAGCTTCCCATGTACCCTATAAGCAGGTATTCATAGGCAGGCACTCTCCAGATCTGTGCAGAGGAAGTTAAAAGAAAACAGAAAATGACAAACACTTCCCAGTTGGCATTGAAAGAGTGGCCCTGTCTGTAACATGTGCAAGGAGTATCAAGGCCTGCTGGGGACAAACAAAAGTTGTTCAAAAAGTCAGGTCCTGTCCTCCCTGGTACTGATGTAGACAAAGAAGCTGCTACAAAATGAAGGCAATGAATCACAAATACTTTACTTCGCTAGAAAGTGCAGCTAGAAAGTTCACAGGGCCACAGTTCAGGCTTGCAGACTGTCAGGACATTCCTGGGGCTGCGGGAGCTTGGCTTTCAAGCCGCCGGTTCAATAACCCGGGGCAGGCAAGAGGCTGCTTTCTACAAAGCTGGTTCCATTTCCTACAGAACAGTGGAGCAACAGCCTCATGCTAATATGGATGCTTGCAAAGGCTGAGTGTTTCCTAGAAAAATCACAATTGTTCTTTGAGGAAGCTGATACTGAGATGGATGCTCTATGCACTGGCCATTTGCCAGCAGGTTGAAGACCAGCGACCTGGTGGGTGTGGTGCCCCGTTCTGGGGAGACTTCAATCAGACTTCAGCTCTGATTGCTGAAAATTTGTCAAAGCAGGTGCTTCCAATGACATGCTTCAAATTCAGAACTTGTTTCAGCAGAAAACGCATATGTAACCAGTTACACCTCAAGGTTCTTTCCTCTAAGCATAAAACACATATGAAATAAGTGTAGGGGATTTAGGTAACATCTTAGACTGCTTTTATTTTATACACTGTGGCAAAACTTTTATTCCAAAGTGTAGCAACAAAGATTGAAGAAGAACACAGCATTGTCTTGCCTTAAGCATGCTGAAGCTTTGTGGCATCTTTAGACCGGATTCTTGGCTTTGAAGACTAGAGAAACCAGAAAGTGTACTGGAAGTGAAGTCAAAACAGCTTGTTACCCAACTTGCTTTTTCCACAAAGTATTGAAATATTAAGAACTCAGGCAAATAATGCTTAGATACAGCTCTCTTTGTTTGTGTTGAGTTCCATTTGTTTGTCTGAAGCCAAACTGGGTGAATAATTTCGCATTCTTTATCTTAGCAGTCAATTGTGTGGTTCTGAAATTTGAGTAAGATAAGATCACAAACAAGTAAAAGCATGTGTAGGCTGAAAAATCAATATGTTTCAAAGTAACAGTTGAGAAACAAATTATTCCTGTACTAATAGGCTGAAAACTAGGTTTAGAGACTCTGCTAGGACTGATAGGATTGCTAACAGTAAAGCAGTATTAAAAAAAATTTGAGCTGCCTCCATAGTTATGTTAATCATGCCATCACCTAGAAATAAAGTGGCCAGAAGACTGAAAATGTAACTGCAACATTAAGGAGTTTTTTAAGCTTCTCAGTTTTTGCATAATAATTAGATCTTGAAAACTGTAGTTCTTTTTAACTACTCATCCTTAGGTCTGCTCTTCCCATTTATCCTGAGATTTTCTAATACTTTACTTCAATTATTCAGAGTAGCTACTCTCTTGCTAAGATGTTCCTATGTTTCAGTTCAGGACTCAAGGTTATTGTCACCAAAGAGTGGCAGAATTCCTGCTAACTTAATCACATTCAGATCTATACCATGCCCAACATGAAAAAGCCATTAATATCTAGCTTATACCAATCCAAGTCTGTTCTCTGAGTGATGTTATATCTCAAAAATAGTTTCCTGTAAATTAAATCTACATTCCTGAACTTAATTGTTTCTTTCTAGTAGTCACTCTTTTGGTAACCTTTACACTTTGCTGAAACAAAACACTTATTGCCCTTAAGAAACACCTGAATAAACCATACCTAATAAACAATTCAAGAATAATCAAAGGCAATAAGTGAAAAATGTAGACTAGCAGCAATATAAAGGTTCCCCTTTGCCACCAGAATCTGCCTTTTCCAGCCCCAGCTTCATCTAAAGCATTTAAAATGGTGTAGAATTCAAACAACTGACTGTTCAAAATTAAACCTCCAGTCTTTGTATCTGGTACATAATTCACTAGGACAGAACTAAAAATCACCTGTTTATTTCTATCTATATGCTGAAGTCTCCTGAGTGCTGACTTTGTCTGCAAGCAAGCTATACATGTCCTGAAAACATTGGTGTATTTATAACACAGAATTCATCAAATTCTCATCACCTTAGCAGATAACTGACTTTTAAAAAAAGCTAAATATGCAACAGCAGTCTCATCCTCTTTCAAGGTATTTGTTTGGTCAACAGCATTTTTGAGAGAGAAGCTGTGTTGACAGGAAAAAGGACAGGTTGTTGAGTTATGAGGCTGTGGAATGACTGTGGTAGGGAGGACTCAGCAGCTATAAGTGGAGCTGTAAACTAAGATGGGTGTCAATTCAGTGCTTGATGAAGCCTGACTGACTCAAGTGGCATGTTGAGGCAACCACACAGAATCTTATCTGCTTAGTTCTACATAAATGTATTAAAATTTAAAAAAACAAACAAA